ATGTGGGGTAAAGCAGCGGAGCTTTTATTATGCCACAGTCGAGCGCTTCTGCTGCTTCCGGTCGTGCGTATGTGGGGTAAAGCAGCGGAGCTTTTATTATGCCACAGTCGAGCGCTTCCGCTGCTTCTGGTCGTGCGTATGTGGGGTAAAGCAGCGCTGTTTTATCATACTAGATACGTTTAGTTCTGTTATAATGCTACTCTGTGCTGTCGTCACCGGTCTATTAAAACACACAACATATTCAAGCATCTTTGGTGTTTCCATGTTTTCGGAAATCGAGGGGTTATGACATCATTAGCAGGCGACACAATGACTCTATAGACATGCTCCGTGTCACTAGTTAAAATTGCTTATTTCTTTGGATTTAAACATTCTTCTAAACATTTGGGATAATGTAAATACACAAGTCAGCAAAATATATAACACTGTTCTAGTGGTTTTTGGAGTGCTTTTAAATCAGTTTTTAAGATAACGGCTCCAACAGTTGCTAAGATGCACTCCTGCTCTGCCCAACGAATCCCACAGCCTTCCCGTCCCCCATCCGTATTCCTCACAGCCCTGTGTTTCTCAGCGGCGTGAATGAAAGCTCTTCCTGCAGCCCACTGTTAGCCGCTGGCGAGAGACGCTAAAGAGAGCGCGAGCCAAGAACAGGCCAGCGTCTAAATATCCAGAGCCCTCTCTCTTCACCCTCCACTGCACCAACAGCATTCAGCCTTTCATTCCAGTGATAATGAACAGACCGGAACAAGAGCGCCGTCCAAACCACAAGAGCCGCTCACAATGGTTTTGTGGCCATGTCATGTGCATCCGTGGGAGCAGAGAACGCTGCCATGTTTTATTACCAGCGACGAGAGAGAGAGAGAGAGCGAGAGAGAGAGCGAGAGCGAGAGCGAGAGCGAGAGCGAGAGCGAGAGCGAGAGCGAGAGCGAGAGCGAGAGAGAGAGAGAGAGAGAGATCCATGGGAACATAAACATGCAGGATCGTTGTGAATGCGTGCTTGTTCTGAAGTTGTGTACGGTGACATCACATGAGCAAGCCTCTCACGCACACTGTACTGAATGCACACGTGTTCTGTGTGCATGTAAACATTACTGCAAAGCACAATGTGCATGGTTATTCATGTCGAGTTCTGTTTAAAATAAGTAAAAGACTCAAGGGTTGTTGCAGTATTTTTGACATGCACATGCAGTATAACAACATGTCCCAGACACCGAGCGGATATCTGATGCATGCACATGTCTGTAAAGTAGGGTTGTATTATTTGTAAAGTAAAAGAACTGTATAAAGAGCAATGCAAAGCCACGGCAATTCCGGATGAAATGCCAATCCATGCTCGCCAGCACCCTGAGATTAAGACCTCACGAGTCTGTTCTGTGTTCTGGACCGTCAGTGTCAGCGTCTCTGCACACAAACCTCTCCGAGAACGCAAATATTTCTCACATTCACTTTATAGCACCTTATATGTGTCCTTCACAGGGATTTTAGGAGAAGCATGTGAGACGTATGTGAGCCTGCAGCACAAAAGCAGTGTTAAGTCGCTGGGGGATATTTGTAGCAATAGCCAACAATACATTGTATGGGTCACAATTATACATTTCTCTTTTATGCCAAAAATCATTAGGATATTAAGTAAAGATCATGTTCCATGAAGATATTTTGTACATTTCCTACTGTAAATATATCAAAACTTAATGTTTGATTAGTAATATGCATTGCTAAGAACTTCATTTGAACAACTTTAAAGATGATTTTCTCAATATTTAGATTTTTTTGCACCCTCAGATTCCAGATTTTCAAATAGTTGTATCTCAGCCAAATATTGTCCGATCCTAACAAACCATACATCAATGGAAAGCTTATTTATTCAGCTTTCAGATGATGCATACATCTCAATTTCCAAAAATGGGCCCTTATGACTGCTTTTGTGCTCCAGGCCACAGTCGAGCGCTTCCGCTGCTTCTGGTCGTGCGTATGTGGGGTAAAGCAGCGCTGTTTTATCATACTAGATACGTTTAGTTCTGTTATAATGCTACTCTGTGCTGTCGTCACCGGTCTATTAAAACACACAACATATTCAAGCATCTTTGGTGTTTCCATGTTTTCGGAAATCGAGGGGTTATGACATCATTAGCAGGCGACACAATGACTCTATAGACATGCTCCGTGTCACTAGTTAAAATTGCTTATTTCTTTGGATTTAAACATTCTTCTAAACATTTGGGATAATGTAAATACACAAGTCAGCAAAATATATAACACTGTTCTAGTGGTTTTTGGAGTGCTTTTAAATCAGTTTTTAAGATAACGGCTCCAACAGTTGCTAAGATGCACTCCTGCTCTGCCCAACGAATCCCACAGCCTTCCCGTCCCCCATCCGTATTCCTCACAGCCCTGTGTTTCTCAGCGGCGTGAATGAAAGCTCTTCCTGCAGCCCACTGTTAGCCGCTGGCGAGAGACGCTAAAGAGAGCGCGAGCCAAGAACAGGCCAGCGTCTAAATATCCAGAGCCCTCTCTCTTCACCCTCCACTGCACCAACAGCATTCAGCCTTTCATTCCAGTGATAATGAACAGACCGGAACAAGAGCGCCGTCCAAACCACAAGAGCCGCTCACAATGGTTTTGTGGCCATGTCATGTGCATCCGTGGGAGCAGAGAACGCTGCCATGTTTTATTACCAGCGACGAGAGAGAGAGAGAGAGAGAGAGAGAGAGAGAGAGAGATCCATGGGAACATAAACATGCAGGATCGTTGTGAATGCGTGCTTGTTCTGAAGTTGTGTACGGTGACATCACATGAGCAAGCCTCTCACGCACACTGTACTGAATGCACACGTGTTCTGTGTGCATGTAAACATTACTGCAAAGCACAATGTGCATGGTTATTCATGTCGAGTTCTGTTTAAAATAAGTAAAAGACTCAAGGGTTGTTGCAGTATTTTTGACATGCACATGCAGTATAACAACATGTCCCAGACACCGAGCGGATATCTGATGCATGCACATGTCTGTAAAGTAGGGTTGTATTATTTGTAAAGTAAAAGAACTGTATAAAGAGCAATGCAAAGCCACGGCAATTCCGGATGAAATGCCAATCCATGCTCGCCAGCACCCTGAGATTAAGACCTCACGAGTCTGTTCTGTGTTCTGGACCGTCAGTGTCAGCGTCTCTGCACACAAACCTCTCCGAGAACGCAAATATTTCTCACATTCACTTTATAGCACCTTATATGTGTCCTTCACAGGGATTTTAGGAGAAGCATGTGAGACGTATGTGAGCCTGCAGCACAAAAGCAGTGTTAAGTCGCTGGGGGATATTTGTAGCAATAGCCAACAATACATTGTATGGGTCACAATTATACATTTCTCTTTTATGCCAGAAATCATTAGGATATTAAGTAAAGATCATGTTCCATGAAGATATTTAGTACATTTCCTACTGTACAAATATAAAAAATGTATTATAATTAGTAATATGCATTGCTAAGAACTTCATTTGAACAACTTTAAAGATGATTTTCTCAATATTTAGATTTTTTTGCACCCTCAGATTCCAGATTTTCAAATATTGTTCTCTCCTAACAAACCATACATCAATGGAAAGCTATTTATTCAGCTTCACCAACAAAAAAAAAAAGACCTTTGACTATTTTTGTGGTCCAGGGTCAGAAATGTTGACACTAAAGACACTAAACTGAGAGCAAACACTTCTCCTGCGGGAGGTTTAGGGCTTGGTATCGTTCCAATTGTGATTCTGCTAACATTTAGATATCAAACATTTATTTTGTGTCTCTTTTTGCTGAATATTTAATTGCTGCTGAATACCATGAACACAAGTCAGCCGGCTGCATAACAACTGGACTCGATTAGGAGCTGTTTGTGTGTAATATAGAGCCGCACGATTCTGGATTAATCTACTTTTTCTGTTTTTTATGGAGGTTGTAGTTCTCTCAGAATTTCAAAGAAAAACATCAGACAACTGAACAAACCCTCGTGGAGCGTGTGAGTTTCATTTCTGGAGGAATCAGTGTATCTGAATGAATCTCTTGAATGAATGAATGAATGATTCAAAGACAAATACAGCCACCTAAACAAACAAGATGCGCACACAGGACCTGACGGCTGGAAGTGAAGTATCCGATTCTGGAACTGATTTCTGATTCCCAAACCCTTCACCAGCACCAGCACCAGCACCAGCACCACCAGCACCACCAGCAGCAGCACCAGCACCACCAGCAGCACCAGCACCACCAGCAGCACCAGCAGCACCAGCAGCACACGGGCCGCACTCACCAGCGCTTACTGTGAGCTCGAGCACAGCTGACTCTGAGGTAAACACCTGCGTGAAGCGGACACGGTTTACCTGCGTAGAAGCGCAGCAGCGAGCCCAGCTCGGTGTTCATGCCCTCCTCCTGAACCCGCCACGGGTCCTTAAACCCCAGCTTGAAGAGGAAGTCGTTCTGGAGCTGCAGGGGCCTCTCCTCGGGCCCCAGGCGCCGCGCCGCCTCGCCGTGCAGCTGAACGTACAGCGCCGGTCCGGAGTCCCAGTCACCGGCGGGACCCGCCTCGGCTCCATCCGTTACCCGACAGTCCAGCTCCAG